TGCGACTTTTATTGGTGTTAGGCTGATTTTTTTCTTCTTTGTGTGTGTATATGAGTGTATGTGTGTGTGTGTGTGTGTGCATGTACATGTGTGTATGTGTATGTATGTGTGTGTGCATATATATGTGTGTGCATGTACATCTGTGTGTATGTGTGTGTGCATGTATATGTGTGTATGTGTGTGTGCATGTACATGTGTGTATGTGTGTGTATGCGTGTGTGTGCATGTACATGTGTGTATGTGTATGTATGTGTGTGTGTGCATGTACATGTGTGTATGTATGTGTGTGTGCATGTGTATATGTGTGTGTGCATGTACATGTGTGTATGTGTGTGTGCATGTAAATGTGTGTATGTGTATGTATGTGTGTGTGCATGTGTGTGTGTGTGCATGTGTGTGTGTATGCGTCTGTACGTGTGTGTACGTGTGTAGAATATCGTGGTTATTTCTCCTTTTCGTAATTTTTTTCCATTATGCTTTTCCTTCTTTTTTTATTTGTGTGTGTGCTTGTGTGTGTGTGTGTGTGTGTGTGTGTGTGTGTGTGTGTGTGTGCGTGTGTGTGTGTGTGCGTGCGCGCACGCGCTTTTAGTTGGATGTGGTATTCTCTCAAAATGCAATTCCCAATTATTCGTCACTCGTCTCTGATTTTATTAGGAAGAAGGGATTGGTTTAAGAAAAAAAATATGGCGATAAGAAATAAAAAAAAAAAAAGAAAGAAAGAAAAAAAGAAAAAGACGAGGAAAAGTAATGTTGCCACCCGAATGACAGCTGCCACACGACATGGAGTAGATGAATTTTCTGCATGGGCTGCGGTAGGCATATGTGAATAAACTAGGGTTAGATGAGTGGTTCATAATGATTAGACGTGATTCATTGTTACTAGGCAACTGATGCAGCAACACTTTACCTCTTCATTCACTTTTTCTATATTTCCCGTTGCAAGCCAGCCCTCCTCACACGAAATCCTTTTCCGAAAATCTTTATCAAATCATCTTTGTCCGACAGGTAGCACAAGTTCATTGCACACGTACCCTCTGCATACTTGTACAGATGTACAAATGGCTAAAAATATGTACACATAGAGAAGTAGAAAATTTGGTTAACAACATAATCTCGCAACCATTTTACAATAGAATTAAGGACAGATTAGTTTTGAAAGTATGGGGATACTAAATTCTGAATTTTCGTTACACGTGAATTTGGGCGGTAGGTATTTAAATATATATATATATATATATATATATATATATATATATATATATATATATATATATATATATATATATATATATGCACTCCAGTAGGTTTGAATCCTGCTGGAGAGTGTATATTTTTCTGTAATAAGATTTCTTGCGTATTCAGGCCAGCAGACAAAAAGGGATTTAAAGTAGTCATATTCATCGAGCCCAGAATGACCTTCAACAGAATGCAGAAAGTACTGGACGGCGGTTTCATCCTATTTGGGACTCGTCAGCAAAAATTTCTTCACTGTATATTCTTGCTTGACCCAGCTAATGGCCATTAAGCAGCCGTGGCTCTTGGGGCACTGTTCCGAGGTTATCTGACTACTTGGATGAGTAACGCTGCGGAACTGAGTGAGCAGCGGGCCTATATTGAGTCTAGTTTGTGTCTGCGTCACCGTGGTAAGTGGTACAGTTGGTATGACGTTTACGTTGTATCGAAAACGGCCCGGGTTCGATTCTTGATAGTGGATGCTCCCTTCTGGTGCGCCCCAAATAGAACGGCCGTCCAATGCTTTCTGCATTCTGTTGAAGATTATTCTGAGCTCGATGAATTACTGTATTAAATATATATTCAAAACTTATAATATACGCATTGTTATAATATCACTACAAAAAAGCCATTTTGTTTCAACACTTCTGGTGTCTTCTCAAGTCATGGTGTTGATTGAAAAATAAATAGTATTTTTTTCCCTGAAAATCCAAAACCATATAAAATTAAAATTAAACCGACCATTAGGTTTAAAATATTACAAAGTAAAATGGAATGGAGGAAAAAAAATATAAATATATATTCTTAGCTAGATATCAATTTATCCGGTAAATTCGACGTTGATGTGAAAAGTATGAGTAAACACTATAAACCAAAGGCACGAGTGAGTCAGATAATACAGACGACATCACATTCGCATCCTAATAAACAGTCACATAAATATAACTCAACATATATGCACGCAAGTATAAGAACGATACAGGAAATAGAAGAAAACGGACGAAAGAAAAAGAAAAGAACAAGAAATATATGTGTGTGTGCGCGCGCATGTGTGTGTGTGCGTATGTGCGTGTGTGAATGTTTGTGTGTGTGTGTGTGTGTGTATTTAGGCAGCATATCTTCATTAATGCATGTTTCATTGAATAATATAGACATGTTGTGTCCCCTTATTTTCTATCGATTCTTTCTTGTCGTCTAATCAGTTTCTTGATATTAGGATGAAATTCATCAAGGAAAGTGCCTTAGTTTTGGGGGGAGATGAATAGATCCTTTATATAGTGCATTATATATATCGTATACTAGCAAGTATCGACCATCATAAAGACTGAAAAATAAAATTGACAAAGATTATTGTTTAAGGTTGACGGACACGCATGTCTTAATTAGTTTTTTTTGTTTTTTTTACGAATTGGTCAAACCCAAACTCAAATAAAAACATTGTTTTCAATCGTTATGAGTCTACCGATTGTATAGAATTTTATTATAAACAATTGTCTTGTAAATGGAATTTTTAAAGCATTCTGAATGTAAAAATAAAGAAAAAAGTGTGCAAGACAATAAGAAACACTACCTGCCCCCCAAAAAGTGAAGTTTTGTTGAAATCGGTTGAAAAATGTTGGAAATCCAATCCCATATATAAACAAACACAGAAACACACACACAAACAACCTGGGTTTTATAATAAGTATAACTCGATATGAGTTGTCCCCCTTTCATTAATGCCTCTTAATCGTATTTTCAAATTGATTTCGTGCAAAAACAATTGCGTTTTTCCAATTTTTGGCACTGTCAGAACCACCGCAAGGTAATTTTACATAGTCATGGGTTAGTTCTCTTAAGTAAATTGGCCCAAAAAGTAGCTCCTTTGTACTTTAAATAAGAGAAAATTATTATACATGGTTAAAAAAAGGTGAAAGATTTTTTATTAGCAATTTTATTATGACAAAAAGAAAAAAAAAAGAAAGCATTTTATAGTTAAATTTTGCTCTCGTCAAAATATCCTCCTTTAGCCTTGATTACAGCAGTACAAATCTTTGGCAATAGTTGCAAAAGTTTCTCAAAGTATAAGTTTGATAATTGATTCCATTCTTTTTTCAATGAATCTAAGAACTCTTTTTCATTTTTTGTTTTTTTTCCCCTCTTCTGTGAATCTGTGAAATTCATCCCATACTAATTCTGGTAGTAGCTTCAAACTTTTTGAAGTGTATATATATATATATATATATATATATATATATATATATATATATATATATATATATAGAGCATTTGAAATGTAGCATATATATATATATATATATATATATATATATATATATATATATATATATATATATATATATATGTGTGTGTGTGTGTGTGTGAGAGAGAGAGAGAGAGAGAGAGAGAGAGAGAGAGAGAGAGAGAGAGTGTGTGAAAAAAATAGAGAGAGAAAATATATCATTTCACTTTTTGTCTTTGCTTAAGATGAGATACTGTACTGCCTGACCTCGGCAGGGTAGTTTCAAAATAATATTTAGTTCAAGCCCCAGGGAAGGCATCCTCCCAGGCATTACATCTCCTTCGGGAGAGGGACTGGGGTCATTACCCGGCGCCTGTGGTGCCCCCACCAAAGTGCCGAGGGGAATTTTTCCACGCTATAGCCGTTAAATCCACTTTAAACCTCGACCTTGTATCACAAAAAAATCTATCGGCTCGGGATTGAATTTAAATCCCGGGCTATATTAACTGAAAGATTGGGAGAAAAAAAATTATAGATATGAGAATTTGAGTTCGAAACAACCATTCTCCTCAAAGTTTCGGAAATTTTCTTTATTTCTTTCGCTCTCTTGTATCCAATTCTTTCTTTCTTTTTCTTGATTTATGCCTATCGTTCGTTCGTTGTCCTATTATCAATTCTTTCTTTCTTTCTTTCTTTCTTTCTTTCTTTCTTTCTTTCGTTCGTTTTCCTGTATCCAATTCTTTCTTTCTTTCTTTATTTCTATCGTTCCTTCGTTGTCCTATTGACAATTCTTTCTTTCTTTCTTTCTTTCTTTCTTTCTTTCTTTCTTTCTTTCGTTTTCCTGTATCCAATTCTTTCTTTATTTATTTATTTCTATCGTTCCTTCGTTGTCCTATTGACAATTCTTTCTTTCTTTTCTTTTTCTTTCTTTCTTTTTCTTCTTTTCGTTTTCCTGTATCCAATTCTTTCTTTCTTTCTTTCTTTCTTTCTTTCTTTCTTTCTTTCTATCGTTCGTTCGTTGTCCTATTGACAATTCTTTCTTTCTTTCTATCGTTGCCTTATATCCAATTCTTTCTTTCTTTCGTTCGATGCCGTATATCAATTTATTTATTTCTATCTTTCTTTTTTTCTTTTATACCTCACTCAATTCATCGATTTTCAGACATAAGGTTACAAAATGATCCTTAAAAGATTTGGCAAGCAACGAAAGAAAGACGCGTAACTTCACCCTATACACATCAACCTTGACCCTTACTTCTGGTCCGGTTATGTTGCAGATTGCATTCTTTTTTAGTTGTTCCTTCCATTCATCGCTTATAATTAAATAGATTTCGTCTTTTCAGCTGATAAGAGAGTCGCTTTGTACCAAGAACAGACTGATCAGGGCAGCAATCGAAAAGATCTTTACTTTTAATGATTTATTTTGATTTCAAGTAGAAGAAAATGGAGATAAAACAAATGGAGAAACGGATTTGTGGAAGTCGATTCAGGGAAGGACGGATGAGATCGGCGCCAGACACAGGTTCGGGCCGATGGTGATGGCGCTCTACCCACAAGCATGTTGTTTGAGAGATTCACTTACACGCCCGAAAGAAAGAGGAAGATTGAAGAGAGAGAAAAAAAGGAAGAAGGGTAAGTAGAAAAGAAATTTAAAAAGAATATTGAAAATGAGTGAAAGAAAGAAAGAAATAGAGAAAGAAAGAAAGAAAGAAAGAGAGAAAGAAAAAGAGAAAGAAAGAAGAAAGAAAGAAGGAAAATAGAAAGAAAGAAGGAAAATAGAAAGAAAGAAAGAAGAAAGAAAAAGAGAAAGAAAGAAGGAAAAAGAGAAAGAAAGAAGAAAGAAAGAAGGAAAAAGAGAAAGAAAGAAAGAAAGAAGAAAGAGAAAGAAAGAAAGAAAGAAAGAAAGAAAGAAAGAAAGAAATGACGGGCGGGAAAAGAAAGAAAGAAAGCGAGAAAGAAAGATAGAAATGACGGGCGGGAAAGAAAGAAAGAAAGAAAGAAAGAAAGAAAGAAAGAAAGAAAGAAAGAAAGAAAGAAAGAAAGAAAGAAAAGCGTATCTAGAAAACATAAAATAAGGAAGGAAAGAAGGAAGGAAGGAAGGAAGGAAGGAAGAAAGGAAGGAAGGAAGGAAGCGTAAGTAGAAAAGCAATAAAAGAAAGAAAGAAAAAGATGAAAGGGAAGGAAGAATGGAAGACAAAAAAGACGCGGAACAAGAAAAGAAATAAAATAAGTAACGAAAGAAGGAAGGAAAAGGAATGAAAGACAAAGAAAGAGAAAAAAATAAAGAAATACAAAAAAATGTAGTTAGAAGTAAATACAAAAATGACAGACGAATTGTGAAAAAAAAAAGAAAAAGGAAAAAAAAGAAATCTTTTTAGTTTCGCCTCACCTGACACAAGGCCCACAAGTATAGCGCACCCATTTATTAACGAACTCACTGAACAAAGCTTCCATAAATATTTACTAAACATATTAGAACGTATTCCGATATGTATATTATGTTTCAATTTCATAGTCAGTGAGGATCGAACTCACAATCAGAATACCCCCCCCCCCCTGCAGATCTTCTTCTGATGTGCCAAATCCTTTCAGGACGGGATCGATCATGGCTCCCCACAATTTCTTTTGTTGCTCTAAGTAACTTTTGGACCACTTTGACCTTGATTTGTCATTCAGACCCGTAAATATGTTACTCGCTGTCCTTACCTCGTTACACTTGCTTTTAATATGCCCTATGAGTCTTAAATTTTCTAGGTCTTCTTTCCTTTTTTAGTAGCGATATATCAACCTCTATGGATTATTTAATGCCGAAATCTAAATATGTTTTACGCATTTTTTTTTTTTTAGATAATAACGGTTTTAGATACAAACTTTAATAATTAACCCATAGTTGGGGGGAAAGTGAATTCATCGCTTTCCCAGGGATATTTGCGCGCAACTGAATATAACAAATCCAACTGGAATTGAAACGGCTCTTCGATCCCGGGCCAATATTAATTACACCATCCGCACATCCATGCTTACAACACCTGGTATTCCCAAGCGGTAACCCATCTAGGTACTGACCAGGTTCGACGTTGCTTAACTTCGGTGATCGTACGGGAACTGGTGTTTCAGTGTGATGTCAGCGCAAGCGTCTTTATTCGTCATTATCGTTCAAGAAATTTCAAGGATTTTTCATCCTAAGTATCAGAATAAAAGTAAGCAAGCAAAATGTAAATATAAAGAAAGAAAAGAAGATTTGGTTATTGACAAAGACAGAGAAAGAAAATAAGAATGAAAATAAGGAAAAAGAGAAAGAAAGAAAGAAAGAAAGAAAGAAAGAAAGAAAGAAAGAAAGAAATGACGGGCGGGAAAAGAAAGAAAGAAAGCGAGAAAGAAAGATAGAAATGACGGGCGGGAAAAGAAAGAAAGAAAGCGAGAAAGAAAGAAAGAAAGAAAGAAAGAAAGAAAGAAAGAAAGAAAATCGTATCTAGAAAACATAAAATAAGGAAGGAAGGAAGGAAGGAAGGAAGGAAGGAAGGAAGGAAGGAAGGAAGCAATAAAAGAAAGAAAGAAAAAGATGAAAGTGAAGGAAGAATGGTAGACAAAAAAGACGCGGAACAAGAAAAGAAATAAAATAAGTAACGAAAGAAGGAAGGAAAAGGAATGAAAGACAAAGAAAGAGAAAAAAATAAAGAAATACAAAAAAATGTAGTTAGAAGTCAATACAAAAATGACAGACGAATTGTGAAAAAAAAAAGAAAAATGAAAAAAAAAGAAATCTTTTCAGTTTCGCCTCACCTGACACAAGGCCCACAAGTAAAGAAAAGAAAAAAGAAAAATGTATGGTTATTAAAAAAAAAGAAAAGAAAGAAATTATCAAAGAGGGTATCTTTCAAGAAAGCATAAAAAAGAAAGAAAAATATATGGTTATTGATAAAGAAAAAGAAAGAAATAAGGTATTGCTGTTAAAAAGAAAGAAAGAATATATAATTATAAAAATATGATAAAGAAAGAAAAAGGAAAAAAGAAGGTGTCGTTGAAAACAAGGAAAGAAAGTAAAGAAAATATGAAAGAAAGAAAGAAAATATAATTATAAAGCATGGAAAAGAAAGAAAAGGTATGGTTATTGATTAAGAAAGAAAAATAATGAAAGAATATATTGTTGTCGAAAACAAGAAAAGAAAAAAGATAAAATAAAGATATTGATAAAGAAAGAAAAAGAAAAAAAGAATGTATAGTTAATGATAAAGAAAAGAAGAAGAAAAAACAAAGTAAGTTTTGTGCATTGTTTAAGAAAAGAAAGATTTCAGTTTAAAAGCACTGGAAAAAGTACCACACTGAACAAAAGAAAGGTGATTAGACTGTTTTGTGTTTTATTCGTGCTTGGTCTAAAAGATTTCATTTTAAAGAACTTGACAAGTGCTGCCCGCAAAACATATTCACTTCTTTCTGACAACGATACCATTAAAAACAACAACAACAACAAAACAAAAAAAACAATGAATGTATTGGCTTTCAAATGACTGCAAATTTTCTACAAGTTTAAAAAAGAACTCCATTCTTAAATGATTGTACTTTCGATTTGAATAAAGAAAAATGAATTCTATATTACAAAAGTCATGATTTTTTACTATTTCCCTTTTATCTTATTTTTTCCTAGGTTTCTCAAGTCACAAGTCTGCGACCGTTAGGTATACAGTGAAAAAAACAACAAATGAATAAACTTTCGATAAGGTCTGAACAAGTACATCCTATTTGACATAGACAACGAGGTACCTAGAAAGTCGAGTCTGGTCAGTATCTAGATGGGTAACCGCTTGCTCTAAGTCAATGGCTCGGAATTATTCATCGGAGAACCGAATTCCAGTTCCAGTTGTGTTCGTTATATTTACTTAAGCAAATACCCTCAAAATATTTAGATTTCGCCATTAAATAACCCATATTTTAGTTTTAATTGCAAGTTAGTAGATTAAATTTAATGTTTCCAATAAACCAAAAAAATTGCTCTATTTCAAACTAAATTTAAATTGATTGGAATGTTTTTTTGTTTTAAATCTCTAGGCTTTTTTAATCCGTCCCAAATAATGTAAAGTTTCTTATTGCAAATATTAATTAATTCCAAGAAATTAGAAATTTTGAATCAAAGTTTGTTTGATTTTCAATTAAATTTTGGCACTCTTTTGAGATTATAAATTTTGAATCAAAGCCTCGCAACGACTCTAGATTGAAAAATTACCAAAAATGAGGGAATTATTTACATTTTGTAAGTGCGTATGATATTCGGGGTACTTACAAGGAAGTTTTTACAATTTAAAAAAAAAAAAGTCTGTTTTTGGCTTGCTTATCGAGGTGAGTGTGGAGCACATTTAGAAATAGCGCACCCGAGTCACCTACATTTAGGTTAATCAACCCAACTGGAGAATGCGGCGTAAGTTTTACCAAATATAAATTCTTTTTTATTTGGGGGTGAGTTAACAGAAAAGATCCAATCGCTAAAATCGGTCATGTTGACAAATCTATCGACATAACATAATTCTTATTACAAAAATATCTTTCAAAAATAAAATATACTTTTCTGAAACTTTATTCGAGAAACATTAACGGATTTAAAGTTTAATTAATCAGATTTCGAACAAATATTACTTATTTTAAGTTTTAAATATCGCAGAAATGTATTTTTTAAAGCTGTAGCTGTTTATGTTAGATGTTATGACAGATGGAGGTTTAACGTTTTCCTACGGTGGATATATCTATAAAAGATAATTGAGGAATATTATGTGAGCGCCTTTTTATATAATTATTAAGTACTCAGTAAGTTTTTAAAATTTAGGAAAATATTCTCGGTAATCTAATTGTTTTATTGGATTTTAGATATATGGATGTTATGGCTATTAGTGCTAGGTTGATTCTTTCACCTAAACATCCAAAAACTTGTTGAATTGCCTTCGTCGCTGAAATAAATAGACAAAGAAAAGACGGAAGGATACGAAGACACTAGAGGGACAGTTTAGGACACTGATTTTATTTCCTTTGGGGGGGGGGATTCCAATGACCTCTTGTTGGGGAATTTCCTTCCCGAACAGTTGGCACGTATTCACCAGTCAAGATACAACAGAGAAAGAGATAGATTTTTCTAGTTTATTTTCGGCACCATGAAATCTCTTTTTTTTTTTTTTGCACATGCGTAAATTGTCTTTCCTGTCAGGGGACTCCTGGGAGATTTTTATTTTATTTTATTTTCTATTTTTATTTTATTTCGTGTTTTTGTTTTATCCCCCATATATTCTGGCTTTAAATAGTTATCGCGCTTGTTTTCTGATAATGTCAAGTATTGACAACCGTGTCTATAAAAATCGGCACACAAAAAATTTTAAATTCTTTTTAAAATAAGTGTAACAGATGTAAAAAAAATATTTTTATCAAGATTTTCTAAAAAAAAAACAAACAAAAAAAAAAACATTTTTAAAATAATCTCATTCATTTGTGAATAAGTTTTCGAAGTTTCATAAAAATCCGACAATTATTTGATTTTTGCATGAATTTCCAAATCAATGTTTTTCACTGCAAAAAATACGCTCAAATTTCCTATACACTACAGTGTAACCCGGATATAAGAGACCCTGATATAAGAGAAACCCGGATATAAGAGAGATTTTCTCCGGTCCCAAGTTAGAGCCTGTGTTAATGTATATAAAATAGACCAGACCCGGATATAAGAGAAACCCGGATATAAGAGACTTCTCCGGTCCCGACAACTCTCTTATATCCGGGTTACATTGTATTCATTTTTTTTTTTAAATTAATGTTCTAAAAAGGATTAAAAAAAGTAATAATTATAAAAAAAAATCCTTCAATCTTTCCTCAAAGATTTTTTGACGGTGAAACTTTGTTGTTCTTTAAGTTTGGGGCATTTTTTCATCATAGCATGCTAATTTTTTCAGTGAATCATTGGTGGTACTTGAATAAAAGAATTTAATGCTGTTATATTTTTTCTTATCCTTCGTCTTTTGATGTGATTTCCCCGCTGAATTCATTGCCGGCAAAAGAAAAAATGGGTCAGCAAGGAGTTAACAAACCAACCCAGGTATTTTTAGAGCAGTGTTGCTAAAAATAACCTTGAACTGTTTGCCGTGTGTTTATCACGTTTCATCCATATCCGCTTTCCCCACCAATCCTGTTTCTATTTTCTTTCGACAGGCTCAACCCTAACCCATCACTTCCTTTCCAAATCTGCCATTTACAAACGCCCTAAATTTTCCTTCTCTCGCTGTGTTTACCCTGCACTTTGAGCCCCTAATTCTGCTGCTGCTGCTGCTGTTGCTGTTGTCGTCTGAAATATTTTTGTTTCATTACTTATTTTTTTTCTCAAGCCTGCCAGTCGGTTAAAAAAAGAAAAAAACCTATTCACTGCTAGATTTCTTTGTTCTAGGTTGGCAGTAGGGTAAAAAGAGGGTGTGGACATGGTAGACACATTAATAAGGTGTTGCCGACTGCGTGAACCCCCCCCCCAACCATACACACTTTTATTTAAAAAGAATATATACACGTACCAGTCGCCCTACTTTTTTTTATGTCCCTACAGGTGCAGTTCTATCGATATTTTTAGTAACTTTTGTCCTTTTTTTTTTTTAAACTTCGAACGAAGAGCGATGTCTAAGGTTTAAAAAGTTACCACCACTGATTCGGAAAAAAAATTAGCATACAGTAATGAAAAAACTTACAGATTGCAACATTTACCAGAGAGATGAAATTTAAATTGCATTATTCCAAAATTTTAACACATCCAGCAGATAGCTATTAATTACCAACAACTGAGTACAAATAATTATTAATTAAAAAATTGATAATTAATGTCTAATATTATCCATAACTACATCTATTGTACAAGGATGTCGTTTTTGATAAAAGTTAAAAAAAAACCATAAATATGTTAAAAAGGCATATATTGTGGGAAATTCCTCTTTCAAAATATAGCTTTTTGTGCTTCAGCTGAAACAATATAAAACAGTAACTAAATAAATTTTTTTCAACATTAAATTATATTTAATCACATCTCTCTCATAGCTGTCGCGATCTGTTAATAAAATAAAAGTTTTATCGTCAAAATCTTTATGCTAAGTGGGAAGACCACAGCATTTTTTATTATTAATTTTTTTTCTCTATCCTTTTGAGGACTTCAGGGGGAAACAAAGATTAATATAGGAAATTTTAGCGTCATTTTTACGGTGAAAACACATTGATTTGGAAATATTTGCAAAAATCAACTAATTGTTGGATTTTAATGAAACATTCAGGACTTATTCACAAATATATGAAATTATTTTAGAAATATCTATTTTTAGGAAATCTTGGTAAATATATATATATATATATATATATATATATATATATTAGCCACCACTTATTTAATTTTATGAAATTTCAAGAAATTCATTTTTGTACGGCTTAATGTTTACTTTAGTTTATATTAGTTATAAGCAGAGGTCCTTGGAGAATATTAATAAGAACAGAATTGATCTCCCAACTTTATTCACATTATTATCTTCAGAGAGAAAAAAAGAAATTCTTAAAATCTAAATATATTTTCTCAACTTTAAATAACCTACAAAAGGTTGATAAAACCATGGAAATCAATCAATCATCTTTTACTAAAAAAAAAACATTTTTTGTAATTGTATTTACATGTATTTGGGTTTTTTTTTCCCTATTTTATTTTGTTGTTCTGTTTGTTGTTGTTGCATTTTTTAAATCTCCAATCAAAAACAAAAATGTGGGTAATTTAAAGAGCTGACGTCCATATCACGTTCAAACACCGGTTGGCATAAACATCAAGAAGTAGGTGATCGCTTCGGAATGCCAGGTGATGTAAGCTTGGATGTGCGGGTGGTGTAATGGATAATGGCACTGGATTGTTAATCGGAGATCCGAGTTCAAATTCCAGTTGGGTTCGTTATATCCACTTATGCACAAATACCCTACAAACCAACTACTTTTTTTTTAGCCAATTTAAAAAAATAATAATCAGGGTGGACTGAAACCTTTTAACTGTACTGTGTATATATATGTGGTGGACACATTTTAGATACGAGGACACATTTTAG